ATTACTTATAAATAAATAAATAAATAAATAAATAAATAAATAAATAAATAAATAGTTTTTAAAAAAGACACTGATCTTTCTGTGAGAGACAAATACCCACAATGGTTGTACAGATTACTTGAAAATCAATCAATCAATCAATGATTTTTTAAAAAGAAACTGATCTTTCTGTGAGAGACAGATATCTTAGCACCCACTCAACAACCCTTCCTGGGAAAACTGCCCTTTCCACAACACTGACTACAACAGTCATGTTTCGTATCACGTGACCTTATCCTATTATGCCCCAATTCTCCCAGACCCCCAGCACTCACACACCTGATTGGACCATGGGCAGGCCAGCCAATCCATAGGCTGGAAGGATAACCTGATAGAGTGTGCCAGGAGTGTTTACTCATTACCCTTTTCTTTATCTGAACCATAAGAGGCCAGGTCCCTATGATGGTTCATTTTATGTGTCTATTTGGCTAGACCATGATACCCAGATATTTGGTCAAAATCATTCTGGATGTTTCTGTGAAGATATTTTTTAGACGAGATCAATGTTAAAATCAATAGACTCTGAGTAAAGCAGATTACCCTCCATAGCGTGGTGTCCCAACAAATCAGTTTAAAACCTTAATAGAACAGACTGACCTCCTCTGAGGGAACGGGAATTCTGCCTTTGAGGGAAAGTATGACTGCCTTTGAACTACAACTACAACTCTTATCCCCCTAGATCTCCAGCCTGCTGGCCTACCCTCGATTTTGAATTTGCCAAGCTTCCACAATTACATGAGCCAATTCCTTAAAATCAATCAAGTTCTCTCTCCATATCTATGTAGAGATGGATGGATGGATGGATGGATAATGTGTGTGTGTTTGTGTGTGTATACACCCAATTACTTCTATTTCTCTAAAGAACCCTGACTAATACCATTCTTGATAAGGAAGTGGAGACATCAGTGGGAATGATCAGAGACTTCCTAATGTCCCTGAAGTCACACCCCACACACATGCATCTTCTGCCAATTTCTTTATGAGACATCATGGTGTAGGAGAAAAAGGTAGGTATGATGAGGCTCAGGAAAAGCCCAGTGCTGGCCCAGTCATACATATGTGACCTTGGGCAATTCATTCCACCTCTCTGAGCCTTGTACTCTTTTCTGGAAAATAAAAGGGCTTACTTGATCAGAGTCTGAAAACACACTACATGCTACCACAGTAGACATCATTAGAGGATTCCATTCTTTTTTTCCCTACTGAAATGTGGCGGCAGCCTATAGTCTATAGAACTGATCAGTTCATGAGATCAAACCAATCTGTGACCCCAAGATTATTTGGTTTCTAAAGGCCCAACAACTAAAATGAAATGAAGCCACAGAAATAGTAGTCACAGCTGGGAAGGGGACTTGCTTGAAAAATAAAACTCACCGTTGGCTGAAAGTGACTGGGAACATAGGAAGGACCTAAGGAGACTTCAGAGAGGGTGAAGTTGAGTTCCGCGTGGGCTGTGCCTGCCACCACCAAGCTCTCTTCTCTTCTCTAGATGTGATCGAAGCCCCCGTGTGTTTGCAACTCCCCAAGGGTACTTGCACTAGTGCCCACCACCCACCTCACTCACCTCAGCAATGCTGATGGAGATGATGAACACAGGGGGTGGGAGGCAGTTAGCTCTCTCCAAGTATGTTCTTCGAACTTTTTCAGGGAGCATCCATTTTGAGACAACCCTGTGGACCTTTTTATTCTTGAAGGGATCTTTACCTCCCCCGTCCTCTCGCATTTCCTTCTCTTCTTCCAGCTCTCCTTTCATGTCTCCATCCAAATGCAGAGTCACATCCTCTATCTCCAAATCGCGATCAGCAGCCATTGTCCTGGGTCTTCCCTCCACCTAAAAGGGACATGAATGTCAAGGAAAAACAGATGACTCTTGGGCCACAGATCTTTCCTGAGCTGTCTGGTACAACCACTGGTTTGTTTCCTTGGCCCTTCCTGGATATTAATAGAAGGCAGTTGAAGATCTGGTGCCCACATACTCACAATATCCATAGCCTCATCCCTAGCATGTAATTGTGACAAAGCAATAGGGTCTCCCCAAATGAGGGAGAGGGCTCCCAGGGGTCACTTCTATTGCCACCACCCAAAGAATGGACTAGAGCCTTGGAATAGAAACCCTACCTTGTATGTCCCTTCCTTCCCCTCCGCCACTGACTGTCAAGTCAACCATCAGTGTAAGAGATGCCTTGGCCATGAAGTGATGCATCTCAGAGCCCAAACCATGCACACCGCATAACTGAACCCAGTCTCGTCCAGCTAAAGTGAATGGTCTCCTTTCCCATTTTAGTTTCATCTCGCTTCTACTCCCAGGCCAAACACAGGTCTCAGATTTCTGACTCAGAATCAAAAATAGTTTACTGAGCATCTACTGTGTATCAGGCACTATGCTGGAGCCTTTCACATCTATTGACTCATTGGACTTCCACAATAACCCCAGGAGGTGGGGATTTGTAGTCCCATTTATGGATAAAAAAACTGAGCTGCCCATTCTGCTCCCCAAAAAAGAATCAAACCTACATCTTACCAGCTCTCTTCCTAAACCAGCACTGCCCATTCGGTAGCACACTCGAGTTAGGAAGGCCATTCCTTGCTGGTCCTCCAGGCACAAGGTCAATACCCTTGCTGAAACACATCTCCCCAACGATGCTCTGACATCCAAAGCTCTTGGCTGAGTTCTTCCTAATTTCCACATCAGGTATTCCCTTGAATTCAATCCTCAACATTCAATTATTCAAGTATTTATTCAGTAAACATCTATGGAACACCTACTAGGTATCAGGCCACCATCCCTAGTCCAAAGGGTTGACAATGTAATGGAGGAAACAGAGGTCAATAAAAATCATACAAATAATTGTATCATTACACTGTGATAGGGGACACCAAGCAGGTGTATAAGATACCAAGGCAGCATGTCTGTAACAGAGACGGCTGATCCACATACTTTCTTATCCCTATGCCATGTACTGTCCTTTCCCTGTTGGTCTGGTTCTGTTATTTTTTTTAAATGCTTATTTATTTATTTATTTATTTAGAGAGAGAGAGAGCACAAGCAGACGGAGGGCAGAGAGGGAGGGAGAGAGAGAATCCCAAGCAGGCTCCACACTCTCAGCTCAGAGCCCAATGCGGGGCTTGAACTCACAAAACGTGAGATCATGACCTGAGCCGAAAACAGGAGTTGGGCACTTAACCAACTGAGCCACCCTGGTTAACCAGGCACTCCTAGTTGTTATTTTTTACTCCTGGTTAAACTACTTAAATCATTCAAATATTTCTGTGGTCAAAGTGGGGGGAAGGGCTGGAACAGTGAGGGAAAAAAAATGTTGCAAAACAGTTGTAGAGTACAATCCAATTTTTGTAAAAAGTAACATACTGTTAAGACACAGAACAGATGAACAGGAGGGAAGGGAAGCAAAAATAATATAAAAACAGGGAGGGAGACAAAACATAAGAAACTCTTTAAAAATAGAGAACAAACAGAGGGTTACTGGAAGGGTTGTGGGAGGGGGGATGGGCTAAATGGGTAAGGGGCATTAAGGAATCTACTCCTGAAATCATTATTGCACTATATGCTAACTTGGATGTAAATTAAAAAGTAATAATAAAATAAAGTAACAAAAATAAATAAATAAAGTCAACCTCACACACACACAAAAAGTAACATACTGATACACAGGAAGAAATCTGGAAAATTAACCATGATTATATCTGCATGGTGGGTGGGATTTCACGAGATTTTTGCCTCCTGTGCAGGGGTGGGCCCAGATTTTGTGGAGCCTAAAGTGTAAACAATTTGGGGGGTTTTCCTTGGAAAAAGTAATATAAAATTAAAGTTACAAAATATAAAAATTGCAAAAGTAGATACTGGCCTTTGAAGGAGCCCATGCAAATGAAAGAGACTTGAAGTTTAAGCTTTTATTAGCTTCAGAGGCAGTCTCTGTTTATATTTGACTTTTAAAGGTTTTATTACTATTTTAATTAAAAAACAAAAAACAAATAAAGGTGTGCCTGGGTGGCTCTGCCAGTTAAGCGTCCAACCAGCTCAAGTCATGATCTCACAGTTCATGAGTTCCAGTCCTGCATCAGGCTCTGTGCTGGCAGCGTGGAGCCTCCTTGGGATTCTCGCTCTCTCCTCTCTGCCCTTCCCCTACTCAAGCTTTCTCTATGTTTCAAAATAAATAAATAAATAACCTTAAAAAAAAATAATAATAATAAATTAGAAAAGAAATAAATAAAGCCATATCTATGACACCTTGACTTGATCCTAAAGTCTCAACTACTGTACTATTTCTCCCCTCCCCTTTGTGGCCTAATATCTTGAAGGAGGAGTCTGTACCCTTAACCAGATGGTCATCTGCATCCTCCATTGGAATGATCTCCTGAGTTACACCCTTCAAACAAATCCACTTCAAGGGCGCCTGGGTGGCTCAGTTGGTTAAACGCCCGACTTCCGCTCAGGTCATGATCTCAGGGTTCATAAGTTTGAGCCCCAAATCGGGCTCTGTGCTGACAGCTCAGAGCCCAGATGGAGCCTGCTTCAGATTCTAGGTCTCCCTCTCTCTCTCTCTGCCCCTGCCCCACTCGCATTCTGTCTGTCTGTCTCGCTCTCTAATTTATTAAATTTAATAAACTTTAAACGTTTACTAATGTTTAAAATAAATAAACATTAAGGGGCGCCTGGGTGGCGCAGTCGGTTAAGCGTCCGACTTCAGACAGGTCACGATCTCACGGTCCGTGAGTTCGAGCCCCGCGTCAGGCTCTGGGCTGATGGCTCGGAGCCTGGAGCCTGTTTCCGATTCTGTGTCTCCCTCTCTCTGCCCCTCCCCCGTTCATGCTCTGTCTCTCTCTATCCCAAAAATAAATAAACGTTGAAAAAAAAAATTTAAAATAAATAAACATTAAAAAAAAGTTAATTAAAAAAATCCACTTAAGGAGTGATGTGAGTCCCAATCACGCAGGCAGAGCACCGCTGGCATTTCAAAGCACATACCCACGCAAAATCTCACATACTCCTCAGAATAAGCTGAAGTAAAAAGAAGGCAAGGGTTGTGTTCCCAATTCTCCTCATCTTCAACCTTCCTAACAGACCTTCTTTCATCCATGTCTCATCTCAACCATATTTCATTCACTGACTTCCTTCTCCCGCCCCCAAGCCACAGGCATCCCCTCTGCATGCTTCAACAACACTCTTGTCCTGCAATTGGACTTCTCTAACTCGGTGAAGAGGAGCTAGTGGCAAGGTCACTAGAGGACAGGAACACAGGCTTTGACGCTAGACAGACTGGGGAATGGCTCTGTCTTATATTTCTTTGCAACCCCAGGCAACGGCCGCGGGCCTGGTACCATAAACCTTAGCATGGTGGTTGCGAGGGCATGGGGGGAAGGGAGAAAATGGGGAGTTGTCTGATTTAATGGGTGCAAAGTTTCAGCGTAGGAAGATAAAGTTCTGGAGATGGATGGTGTTAAGAGTTTCACAACAATGTAAAAGTACTTAATGCCAATGAACTGTATACTTAAAAATGGCTAAAATGGGGCGCCTGGTTGGCGCAGTCGGTTAAGCGTCCGACTTCAGCCAGGTCACCATCTCGCGGTCCGTGAGTTCGAGCCCCGCGTCAGGCTCTGGGCTGATGGCTCGGAGCCTGGAGCCTGTTTCCGATTCTGTGTCTCCCTCTCTCTCTGCCCCTCCCCCGTTCATGCTCTGTCTCTCTCTGTCCCAAAAATAAATAAACGTTGAAAAAAAAAATTTAAAATAAATAAACATTAAAAAAAAGTTAATTAAAAAAATCCACTTAAGGAGTGATGTGAGTCCCAATCACGCAGGCAGAGCACCGCTGGCATTTCAAAGCACATACCCACGCAAAATCTCACATACTCCTCAGAATAAGCTGAAGTAAAAAGAAGGCAAGGGTTGTGTTCCCAATTCTCCTCATCTTCAACCTTCCTAACAGACCTTCTTTCATCCATGTCTCATCTCAACCATATTTCATTCACTGACTTCCTTCTCCCGCCCCCAAGCCACAGGCATCCCCTCTGCATGCTTCAACAACACTCTTGTCCTGCAATTGGACTTCTCTAACTCGGTGAAGAGGAGCTAGTGGCAAGGTCACTAGAGGACAGGAACACAGGCTTTGACGCTAGACAGACTGGGGAATGGCTCTGTCTTATATTTCTTTGCAACCCCAGGCAACGGCCGCGGGCCTGGTACCATAAACCTTAGCATGGTGGTTGCGAGGGCATGGGGGGAAGGGAGAAAATGGGGAGTTGTCTGATTTAATGGGTGCAAAGTTTCAGCGTAGGAAGATAAAGTTCTGGAGATGGATGGTGTTAAGAGTTTCACAACAATGTAAAAGTACTTAATGCCAATGAACTGTATACTTAAAAATGGCTAAAATGGGGCGCCTGGTTGGCGCAGTCGGTTAAGCGTCCGACTTCAGCCAGGTCACCATCTCGCGGTCCGTGAGTTCGAGCCCCGCGTCAGGCTCTGGGCTGATGGCTCGGAGCCTGGAGCCTGTTTCCGATTCTGTGTCTCCCTCTCTCTCTGCCCCTCCCCCGTTCATGCTCTGTCTCTCTCTGTCCCAAAAATAAAATAAATAAACGTTGAAAAAAAAATTTTTTTAAAAATGGCTAAAATGGTAAATTTTAAGTTATGTATGTTCTACCCACCA